TCTCCTGTTCTGAAAAAAAAAAACAAAACTCTCAGGTAAAAACAATTATTGTGTTCACACAAATTAATGCAAGCACCACAATAAAGTATTTTCAGCTACAGAAGTAAAACTCTTCCTTCCTTCTCTGACCCAGACAGATCTCGAACTGAAATAGGTCTTTGAGCCTGAGTTAAACTCCCTGAGCAGGTACTCCCAGCTGGGCCCAAGTGATGTGAACAGCAGAGTCTGGGGGACTGTTTGAGCCATTTTCCCTTCAAATGGCTTTATTTCTGACCTGCAAAATTGAAAGAAGGAGAGAAGTGCTCTCAGGTCTCACTCACTGCAGAGAACTGAACAGCTCCGAGCTCAGAACTCAGTCCCAGCTTTACCCAAATTCCTTCTTCAAATATGGTCCTTCTGCTCCTACAGTTGGGCATCAAGATATGCTCAGGAAAAGGCAAAAGACCAAAATATTCAAAGTATTAAGCTGTGTTTTACCCTGAGTGGTGCAAATGAGGCTCAGTAGTTCTGATCTGACATAGAGAGATGGAGATTCAAAGTAAATTCACTTCTGTGGAGTCTTGAAAGTTCTCTTGGATAACCAAAAATATCAAAAATAATTTATAAACTTGCTCAGTTATTCCAGATTTTTCGATGTTCACAGAAGTGTCAAATATTCAGACTCCACAGAAATTGATATAATTTAATTATTTCAATTTAATACCCAATTATCCTCTGGTGTCTATAGGTGCTTTATTTTAGAGACAGAACTCTTTCAAAACGTGCAGAGGAAGAAAAACTAAAGCTACATATCTAAGGTAGAACTAAGTATATTGAAATCACTTTTCATGCATTTTTTAAATGTTAATTTTGTGTGAAGTATTTACACCATTTCCTCACACCTATGAATAAATAATCCCACTCCTGTGAGTGTATTATTTGTGTGCACAGAGAAAAGCAGAGCAATGAATCCTAATTCTCTTCTGCATCATCCAGCAGGCTCCAAACACCCAGCAGGCAGGAGAAGTGGAATAACTATTCCACAGAAGTGGAATGAAGTTTATTTCTGAGGGAGGGCATTTTGGAAAATCCAGGTGGTAGCTGATTCCACCACACTGTGTTTTATTGTTTAATAAAATTGTTCTCTCCTGGGTGGGTTGATTAGACTTGTGAGGAATGACTTAAATTTTCATTTTAGGTACCTTCAGAACAAAAAGCAAAAAAGCTTCTTATGGCAAGAAATCAATGGGAACGATGGTAAAAGTCACTGCTTGGGCAGTGCAAGGAAAAACAGGAATTCTGTGATCTCAATATTGTGTAGAAACGAGGAAAAAGGGCAGGGAACACTTTCCATGCTGGTCATGGTGATCAGAGAAGATTAGAACTGTTGAGCTGTGTAAGTGCTGTGTGTGATGGGGCTGCTTTTGGCCAAAGCCAAGCACTGAAAGGTAAAGTCCAGTTTTCAAGGCCCTGCAAGATGAAAGAGGAAGAAATTGGGAGATAAAACAAATTACAAGAGCCACTGTGAGTGCCCTGGCCTGGTGGAAGGTGTCCCTGCCCATGGCAGGGGGTGGAATGGGGTGAGATTTAAGGTCCCTTCCAACCCAAATCACCCTGTGATTCCACAAATCCATGACCCTGTGAATTCTCCTACATACAGGAGACATCAAACAAGAGCTCTGTGTTCTTTCACCTTGCCAGAAGGGTGTGTGAGCACAACTTCTCCTGCTGTTTCCTTTCTCTCTCCCCTTTTTCCCTCAAGTTCATGCTCAGGGTCTCTGTGACAATTGTTGTCTGGGTAAGAGGTTAAATGACAAAAAAAACCATCTCCTGGATGTGCGTCCTCCCTTCTTTCTAAAAGTTGCATTTTAAAATATATGTTTAAAGCATATACACTGAGTTTGGGGTGCAGTTGGTGGCCCTGCAGTGGGATGCAAATGCTGTGTGAGGTGAGATTAATCCTTCTGTCCCTCAAGTGACATATTTCAGGAATAGAACAAATATTCAACTGCCTGTATCCAACTGCTGCATCCTCAGACTCCTGTTCTTCCAAAGAATAAAATGCCTGAGCCACACGTGGTGCTGATGTTCTGCTGAGGGCAGTGGGGACCCCTCTCCCAATTTTAGTGGGCCCAAGGTATCCCCTCATGTCTCATCACTCTGTCCCTGTGTCACACAGGCTGGGCACAGGTAAGGAGCACTCAGGGAACAGCCTGAATAAAAACAGAACAGAGGGAAAAAATAGATTCTGAGCTGTCTGGGGGACAGATTAAATTTAGCATAAGAGCCCAGCAAAGGAGAGAAACTGTACCAGTTGGGCTGCTGATGGCTCTGCTTAATCTCCCTCGTGCTGACCATTCCTGCCTCCTTCTTCCTGCAGGAATTGTTGGGAAAAAGAGGAATGAGGGACAATATTTATGTAAGAGTGAGGGGGAGGAGGAGGGAAGCACCAAGTGTTGATTTGCTGGGGGTGGAAGAGCCAGCCCTAACTCAGCACTGATTGCAAACGGAGAGAGAGGAGGTTTGGAAGAGCTATTAGAAAAAATTCTGCCCTGTGAGGGTGGGGAGGCCCTGGCACAGGTTGCCCAGAGAAGCTGTGGCTGCCCCTGGATCCCTGGAAGTGTTCAAGGCCAGGTTAGACGGGGTTTGGAGCAACCTGGGCTGGTGGAAGGTGTCCCTGCCCATTGCAGGGGGTGGAACAGGATAATATTTAATGTCCCTTCCAACCCAAACCACTCTGGGATTCTGTGATTTTATTACCATCTCCTGGTGTCTCCTGTGCCCCAGGATGCAGTCCCAGGTCCTACCACCTTTCAAACTATGGTATCAGCTAAAAAATGTCCTAAACATGTAGCAAAGGCTGGCTTGAAATGTAAAAGTCAGGCTGTCATCAAGGACATGTTACTACTGTTTCCAGCTCAGGAAGCCAGGTCATTTTGGGTTCCCCTAAATAGAAAGTGGTGAGCCAGTAAAAAAAAAGAAAAAATAAAAAAAAGGCTCAGATTCTTGTTGCACAATTTTTTCTCCTCCTGCTCTTGATTTAATGCCAATGTAACCAAAAGATTTGACCTACAAGAGCTCAGATTTCCTTCCTGTTTCTTCCCTCCCATCTCCCAGCTTCAAGCCAATAACTTTGTGTTATCTGCAAACCCTGCTCTCGTTCTCTTCACCACAGCTAAACACACTGTCAGATGAATCAGCACTTCAGCATGAGCCAACCCCATCCCAACACCAGCAGAGGTTATATCAACACAGCCATGGCTTTTTAGCCTGGTTTCCTAAGAAAACAAGGCTTATGTAAACACAGCAGCTCCCAGTCTGCCTCTGCCCCTGTTCAGAAATGGTAATTTTTTTGAACCATGGGCCAGTTTCAACCATATTTAATGAAAGGATGGAAATCTCGGTGCCACTGAGGGAAGGTGGAAGGGAAAGCAGAGATTCCCAAAGCAGTGCTCCTGATGTGGGCATCAGACTCAGGTGTGAGGTGCTGGGATTCCTAAATCTCATCTCTAATGAGCTCTTACCCCATTTGTTTCACTCACAAGTTTGACCTGATCCGAAAAGGACCAAAAGGATCCAAAAGGCCCTTGTTTGATTTCTCTCTGAAACAGAGTGGATTTAGTTTGGATATTTGGGAGAAATTGTTGGCTATGAAGGTGGTGAGGCCCTGGCCCAGGTTGCCCACAGAAGATGTGGCTGCCCCTGGATTCCTGGAAGTGTCCAAGGCCAGGTTGGACGGCGCTTGGAGCAACCTGGGCTGGTGGAAGGTGTTCTGTCCATGGCAGGGGGTGGGACTGGATGGGCTTTAAGGTCCTTCCAAACCAAACCATTCCATGATTCTGTGATTCTGTGATTTGATGATTGGCTTCCCTTGAGCTCCACAATATCTTATCCCAGAACATTTACCATCAATAAGACACAAATCCTCAAGCAAAGAGTCAAGAATGGCCCTGATGTGCTCACACAGACACGTCCTGAAGCCAGAACTGCCCCACACCAAGGCTCTTGACCAACTTTGAGTTCCAAATTCCAGAGGAACAGCCTCCCACACTGGTACAAGCAAATCCTCAGCCTGGGAGAGCTCCTTTTACCCTGACACCACAAAGACTCCTCCTCATTTAGTCCCTGACAAAACAGAACCTTTGAATCTTTCCCAGCCAGGACAATCTCTCTCTACCCTGTAATCACACCCAGCTCACCAAAGGTGACAGAGCCCACCTTGTCACCTCCTCAGTGCTGCCTTTTGGCTTCTTTCTGCACCATGGGGAGATATTATATTATACTATATTATATTAAATTAATTACATTATATTATATTATTACATTTATTATATTATGAACTGCTAATGGCAAAGCCTCACTGCATCTGAACCAGCCAGTGAACAGCATGTCCTTTATTATTCCCTATTAGAGCTGCCACAACAGGCTGAGGTGACAGACAAGGACTGCAAAAAAAAAAATAGCTTAAAGGTATCAAAAAACATACACATGCTCCAAGTTGCTGAAAAAAAACCCAACATGTTATAGCCAGGGAGGTATTTTTAGGCTCCCATAAACCGACAGGTGCCTACATTATGCTGCTAGTCTTTAATCTATAAAATTGGATTTACAGCCAGTGCTTCCACAAGAATGAATGTGCCTGAGAGCCACAAAGCCCCACATTCTCTGTACATTTAACTGGCACAAATTTAGGGCTTAGGAAAGAAATGTGCACGTGCTCTTTATAAATTTTCTTCAGGTTTTAGTGGCCACAGAGCAGAAGAGGGAGGGGAGGGGTGTTTTGGGGTTTTTTGTATGGGTGTTTTGGGTTTTTTGTATCGTTGTTTTGGGTGAGCTTTCACTTAATCAGAGCTCTCACAGCATGGAAGTTTTTCCTTGGAAAGTTGGCCTGGAATCAGCGTGTTTAGACAGCAAACAGTTTAGAATCCAACAGCTAATGACTCCAGCAGGGTTAAAGCAAACCATCCCCAGTGGCTTCCCTCCCCAGTGCATCTGTTTTGACTGCAAAAACAAAAACTCACCAGCTGTACAGAAAGGATTTCTCCTCCAGTCTGCAAACAGAGCAGATTATTTCACCACAAATGCTGTCAGGTCTTTGTCTGGCAGGCAGAAATCCAACCCTGGGCAGATCCCTCCACCCTGTTAGCAGAAACACTGGGGAGGGTTTAGTTATTGCAGACAACAGATATGTGGTATTAAACCACTTGAAGCAATTATTGAGTTTGTACAACACAGAGCACTCGATTGTTGCAGCAGGTGATCCCCAAAACCAAGCCTGGAATTCAAAACTCGGTGTTTCACACCCAGTTTCCTCTGTATTCCAAACCACCCCCTATCCTTCATCACATGGACTTGTTTTCCCACGTGTATAATGCCCATGCACATCCTCTTCAAACCATAAAACACACTCATGATGACTTTTTTCCAAGAGAGTGATGAGCTTGGTTACTGGCTGCTTGTGTATTCCTAAATAATTTAAAGCCCAAAAATCAGATTCCTTGTAAAATAGAAGCAACTACAAGGGTTGGGTATTTTGAACACCTCAGAAGCAGTTCTGGACCTCAGGACTAAACCCTTCTATTCCTGTGGCTCTGCCAAGGGAAGCAACATTGATTTATTTAACAGTTATCTGGGAGGTTCTTCCACTCAAAATTAAATCATGACCTTCCAACTCTAACTGGTGCTTCTGCACATGAAATGAAAACACTACAGGAGAACACCTTATTCCCTTTCCTCTCCTGCAGAAACACCTCAGCAGGCCCTGGAATGGCAGCTGGTCAGATCCCTGAGGATCCTGAGAGATCCTGAATTGACCATTTTCCCTGCTTTCCTTGGGTCAGCACATTCTGTCATTCTTATTTTCTTTAAGAACCACCTTCTCCTTTATCAATTCCACTCAAGTCATCACCAAGGCCATTTTTCTGGCCTCAGAAGTTATTGGAAGTGAGAAAATGGGTCTATTAAAGCAGGATATAGGTGATTTTTTTGATACCTTCAGCAATGTAACTTGATTTCTCATTAATAGCCTCCAGTTTTAATGTCTTACTGGTAACTCTGCTTCAAAACAGGGAAGTTGAGTCACTGAGAAGTTGAAGAACTTGCCCAGATAAATTCAGCAAACAACATTCCCAGCCCAGATTCCAACCTCTACAATGCTCTGTCTTCCAGCTGCTTCTCTAGGAAGATTTTCTCACAATTATTGATCATTAATCTCTACAGGTCTGTCCTGCACAAATGCCAAGAAGAAATCACAGGTTCCATAACAAACACTTGACAAACATCTCCATGGAATCTGTGGCTCCTGTCTGACCTTATTATCCCTGAACTAGAAGGAGAGTAGGATTTAGCAATTAAAAAAATGAGTATTTGTGCTTTAAAGTTATTCCTGCAAAAGCACCAATCCTTTCTGTCCTTTTAAGAACTGGTTACTTATTCTCTCGGAGGAACTGAGCAATAAATATAAATTGTGCAATTCCAAGTGAAAAGAAAGTGTTGGTTTGGTTTTAGTTGGATTTAGGAGTTCCCATAAAAGCAAAGCATTAAGACAGATCAGTTCCTTATTCCACAAATATGGAATTAAAGGGGTGCACCCTAAACACTAAAAAGGGGGATGGGGGGAACAGGGAAAAAACCACACAAGGAAAAAGATCTTAAATGTCTGGGACAGAAAGAGATTCCAGAGGGAGCAGGAACTGCAAGGGAGAACCAAGATCCAGATAAATGTATCCAGCACTCTCAGCATGTTTGTCTTGGAATTCTAAAGGACAACAAATGGCAAATGGCTGAGGAATCCCTTAAATCAAAGGAGTCTTGTGCCTGTGTGGTTCCTTCTGGGAACACGAGCCAGTGAATCCCTGAATCCTAGAAGGCAGCGCTCTGTGTGGTGTCCGAGGTCAGCCCCTGAGGAGCAGGAAAGCTCTGAGGGAGGGAGTGATGTCAACTCCAAACACAGGATGGAAAGGATCCAGGAAACTTGTTAGTTCTGCAGCCACTCAGGAACAAATATTTAACTTGGGAATCAGCGAGGAGACCAACTGGGAACGGGCAGGAGAGCTCTGGAGAGAGGCAAAGCAGGAATTGGATCAGAAAAGCAGGTCCTGTCCTGCTCGTTCCTCCAGCTGCTCTGCCCAGCCAGGAGCGTTTGCATCCACCAGGCACCAGGATTTGCATCCCCTTTGGAGACTGGGAACACCCACAGGACCTCATGGAGTGGCTGGAATGCCTTAACGTGGAGAACTCCTGCCTGGTGGGGAAACAGCAACTTCAGTGAAACTGCTGTCCCTTGGAATAAAAAAAATACCCCGGATTTGAACCTGCCATGCTCTGATACTTCCCCCCACATCAACCCCAGCCTGGCAGAACCGGTTTTATACACCCACTGATTCCACCTTCTTCTCTTGGAATGTTTTATGCCCATGTGAGCCAGGCTGAAGAGCCCTTCTGTGAGCAGGTAATGGCTGATACACAGTTCATAAAACCACAGCTCCAGCTTCCTTCACACAAAGAAATGCCTGATGTCTCTCCCTTGCAACAATTTCACAGCTGCCTCAGTAATTTTTTTTTCCTGGAATTTCTGCATCAACAACTATAAATCTCTTTTTTTTTCTTCAAACATGGGGGTGTTTATGAAATATTTCTCCCTTCCCTGCAGTGAAAAAGTGAAAAATCTGACATTTTGGAGGCCACAAGCACAAGTCCATGGCTGGCCCAAGAAACCTCCTCCCAGGAAGTTTGGAGGGAATGAGCTTAAGGAAAGTAGAGAATCATGGAATCCCAGGATGATTTGGGTTGGAAGGGAACTTAAAGCTCATCTCATTCCACACCTTGCCATGGACAGGGACACCTTCCACTAGCCCAGGTTGTTCCAAGTCCTGTCCAACCTGGCCTTGGACACTTCCAGGGATCCAGGGGCAGCCACAGCTTCTCTGGGCAATCTGTGCCAGGGCCTCCCCACCCTCCCAGGGAAGGATTTCTCCTTAAGAAATGTCTCCCTATGCAATTCCAAGGATGGAGAGAGAGAGATTTGAGCCCTGATTTACAGAACTGGAAACCAGAACAGGAAGGGGAGCCCAGAACTGCTGCTGCACCACAGCCATGAAACCTGGGAACTCACAGGATGCCACCAACTTTCCCTACAAACTCTCCCATCTGCTCTTCCCTGCCAGTCACTTCCTCTTCCCTCTTCTTTATTCAGTGCTTTGCTGTTTGTTCTGCTGCCAATTATTTCCATATTTTCCCCGAGTGGGTTAACTTCTCCACCAGATTTTTTGATGTCTCTGGAGCCGCGAGGTCTTGATATCCCAGATGATCCTTTCAGATAATTCCCAGTCTCCAACAGTATTTCCCCCCACGGAGTTCCATTCCCAAACGCATTCTGGGTGCACCAGTATAAATCTGGAAGATAATTCTCATGGATGTGGTGCTGATATCCACGTGCAAGCACAGGGGTGAACGTGCACATCCTTCCTGGATAAATCACTGGAGCCATGTCCTATTTACAGGAGGAAAGTGCAACCAGATTGTGGTTGGAACACAGGGATCCATGAGGAAGCTCTGTGTTTTTCAGGGATAAAGAAGGACTCTTCTTAGCCCCTCAGAACTAGATTAATCTGTGGGGCAGCTTTCTGTGTTAAGAAAAAACATTTATATGTATTTTAGATGATTGGCCTTCAGTGGTGCTTTGCAACCATTGCCTAAGCAGAAAACCTTTGCAGAGTTACAACAAAGCACATCCATGAGCAAATCAGCCCCAAATTCACTGAACAATGAACACCAATCTCGAATTTGAGGTGGGGGGAAGGACCTGCTAACAAGTTCTATTATGCTCAGGAGAAAACGGAATATAAAACTCATGTCTTAGCAATTTCAGGGAAAAGTGTTGCCCTTGTGCAGGGCTCAAACTTCACACTGTGCTGAGAATAAACTTGCAGACAGCCCTGACAGCTGTGGGAATGGTGCCACGTATTAAAATGTTCCAACCTTCCTCGGGGATGCCAACAGGAGGAGTGACCCAGCAGAGCATCCTGTGCTCAGGTACAGGTCAGCTGAGACAGGGAGCAACACCTCAGGGAGGCTGAGATTGGGAAGGGGAACAAAGCCTAAATAAGCTCCTGAGGAGAAGCCAAAGAAAGAGCACTTAAAAAAAATAGGTTAAGAGTAGGAAATTATTAAATTCCACATCAATTCATTGAATCCATAGGTAGGCACACATTGTGCCAGAGAAAAATGGGAAAGATTCAAACTGTGATGAAGAAAAGCAGGAGTAGGTAAATAAGTGTGTTTTATTTATAAATAAAATATTTCAGGCGTCTCCTGCCCCCACCACTGATAAAAGGCAAATGTCTACACTGAGCCACGTTCATTGGAACTAAAAAAAATATAAATTAGCATAAAGAATAGATAATTGTTGGAGCTGTTGGTGACCCATCCCTGGAAGTGTTCCAGGCCAGGTTGGATGGGGTTTGGAGCAACCTGGGCTAGTGGAAGGTGTCCCTGCCCATGGCAGGGGGTGGAATGGGATGGGCTTTAAGGTCCCTTCCAACACAAACCATTCCATGATTCCATGATAATCTTTTCACTAATTTGCTTAAAATTATGTGAAAGTCAGTGCATTGTGGCAGCCCCTGGATTCCTCCTTGCCACCATATCTGGAAATTGTGGTTTTAATCAGACTGGGGACAGAAAGGGAAGAAGCCACCATTTGGAATTCCTGATCTGCACATCCCTCCTTGTGCCTCAGTGCTGGGAGCCTGCACCAGGCACAAAACCAGGGATCATACCCAGGAGGTGTCTCAGAATGCTGGGGCAGGAGAAAGTTACTTATCCAAACTGACTCTTTGCAGATTCCAAGGGAAAAGCACGAAAATCTAAGGCACCATCCATGAGAACAGGAGTTCTGTGTGGTGGGAGGCACAGTCATGGATTCCAGGTAATATTTAGGTAGCTATGAAACCACACAACTCAGGGAGCACCTTCCCCTCTTCCCTGGCTCTGTGATCCCCTGGGCTCCTGCAGGATTTCATTCTTTCCATGAAAATCAACCCAAGGACATGGATAAGTCTGCCTTATCCCAGATTTGTTGCAGCCCCTCTGCCTACGTCGCCTCAGCCAAGAGCAGAACGATGTTTGCACATGGAGCA